ACATCTGATTTGATGAAATTAACTTCGCATTAGAAGCCCCCTTTACATCAGTCATCCTCCATTACACTGGAGCCCCCCATCACACCAGAGGTCATCCTATCACATCAGAAGTAAGGTCCCCCATCATATCATAGGTCCCCCATTATGTCAGCATACCTGCATGACAGAGTTTGCCCCATCTGAATCCTTCCAATCACACAGTCCCTTCTTTCACATCAGAGCCTTACCTTTTGCTCCAGTAGAGCGGCAGAAAGCAGAAGGTGGAGCAAGTCTGGAAGAGGTGACCACAGTAATGAATAGACCTGGGCAGTTTGTTTCGTGCTGAATTGAAATTTGGACGCAAATTTTTGTTATTTAGAGATTCAGATGTATCTGAATTACAATAGTAATGAATCCGGAATTAACGAAACAACATTTTGTCCAAAATAACAAATTAAATGAAAACAGTGCAAAACAATACCTAAACCAGATACCTTATATGTTATACATAATATAAATCATAAAAATATAGAAGTATTAATTGGATAAAAAGTGTCAAAAAAAACTTAAAGGGTCCAAAACAATTCAAGAAACGTAAAGTCCTTTTTCCCAAACTCCAGAGTGTTTTAACAACAAATTTGATTAATCTTCTGTGTTACAGTTGCAAGAAAAAGTATGTGAACCCCTTGGGATTACGTGGAGTTTTGCATGAATTGGGCATAAAATGAGCTCTGAACGTCATCTAAGTCACAACAATAGAAGAATACAGTCTGCTGAACATAATACTACACAAACATTAGATGTTGCCATGGTTTAATTGCACATAACATGTAAACATTCACAGTGCAGGGAGGAAAAAGTATGTGAACCTTTGGACTTAATAACTGGTTGACCCTCCTTTGGCAGCAATAACCTCAACCAAACGTTTCCTGTAGTTGCAGATCAGACCTGCACAACGATCTGGAGTCATTTTGGACCACTCCTCTTCACAAAAAACTGTTTCAGTGTAGCAATATTCTTGGGATGTCTGGTGTGAATCGCTCTCTTAAGGTCATGCATTGTTTATTAGCCTCCACCAGCCAGACAAAATATACACAGCATCCAGGACCAGCTCCAGAAATCTCCCAGCTCGATTAGCAGAGCATGACAGTATGTGAGACAGATAAAATCCAAAAATGGCCGCTTGGAACGCACCGCTCAGCGTGCGTTCCACTCACCGGAAGTTGCGCAAGACGTTCAGACGGCAGACTGGAAGTGCGTCAGCGCGTTTCGCCCCGTTTTTAATTTCAAAATAACGAATTATCCATATCGAATTCGAAACAAATTTGAAATGTAAAACATATTACTGACTATTGCTGATTACCTGCAAAGACTGTGTGTATTAGCCAGAGCCATATGTATACACAGTTAGGTCCCTATAGATTTGGGCACAGGCACAATTTACATACATTTGGCTCGGTGTGCCACCAGAATAAATTAGAACGAAAATCCAAATAAATTTGAAGTGCAGACTTTCAGCTTTAATTGCAGGGGTTGAACATAAATATCAAGTACAAATTTTAGGAACTGCAACCATTCCCTCCATTTTCAGAGGCTCAAATGTAACAGGACAAATGAATATAATCATAAATAAAATGTTCATTTTTAATATTTTGTTGAGAATCCTTTACTGGCAATGACTGCCTGAAGTCTGGAACCCATGGACATTACCAAAGACTGGGTTTCCTCCTTTCTGATGCTTTGCCTGAAGTCTGGAGCCCATGGACATGACCAAAGACTGGGTTTCCTCCTTTCTGATGTTTTGCCTGAAGTCTGGAACCCATGGACATGATCAAAGCATCAGAAAGGAGGAAACCCAGTCTTTGGTGATGTCCATGGGTTCCAGACTTCAGGAAAAGCATTAGAAAGGAGGAAACCCAGTCTTTGGTCATGTCCATGGGTTCCACACTTTGGGCAAAGCATTAGAAAGGAGGAAACCTAGTCTTTGGTAATGTCTGTGGGTTCCAGACTTCAGGCAAAACATCAGAAAGGAGGAAACCCAGTCTTTGCCTGAAGTCTGGAACCCATGGACATGACCAAAGACTGGGTTTCCTCCTTTCTGATGTTTTGCCTGAAGTCTGGAACCCATGGACATGACCAAAGCATCAGAAAGGAGGAAACCCAGTCTTTGGTGATGTCCATGGGTTCCAGACTTCAGGAAAAGCATTAGAAAGGAGGAAACCCAGTCTTTGGTCATGTCCATGGGTTCCACACTTTGGGCAAAGCATTAGAAAGGAGGAAACCTAGTCTTTGGTCATGTCCATGGGTTCCAGACTTCAGGCAAAACATCAGAAAGGAGGAAACCCAGTCTTTGCCTGAAGTCTGGAACCCATGGACATGACCAAAGACTGGGTTTCCTCCTTTCTGATGTTTTGCCTGAAGTCTAGAACCCATGGGCATTACCAAAGACTAGGTTTCCTCCTTTCTAATGCTTTGCCCAAAGTGTGGAACCCATGGACATGACCAAAGACTGGGTTTCCTCCTTTCTAATGCTTTGCCTGAAGTCTGGAACCCATGGACATAACCAAAGACTGTGTTTCCTCCTTTCTGATGCTTTGCCTGAAGTCTGGAACCCATGGACATGACCAAAGACTGTGTTTCCTCCTTTCTGATGCTTTGCCTGAAGTCTGGAACCCATGGACATGACCAAAGACTGGGTTTCCTCCTTTCTGATGCTTTGCCTGAAGTCTGGAACCCATGGACATGACCAAAGACTGGGTTTCCTCCTTTCTGATGCTTTGCCTGAAGTCTGGAACCCATGGACATTACCAAAGACTGGGATTCCTCCTTTCTGATGCTTTGCCAGGCTCTAACTACAGCTGTCTTCAGTTCTTTGTTTGTGGCTCTTTCTGCCTTTAGTTTTGCCTTCAGCAAGTGAAATGCATGCTCAGTTGGGTTGAGATCAGGTGATTGACTTGGCTATTGCAGAATATTCCACTTCTTTTCCTTCAAAAGTTCCTGGGTTGCTTTTGCAGTGTGTTTTGGATCATTGTCATCTGTACTGTGAAGCGCCGTCCAATCAACTTTGCTGCATTTGGCTGAATCTGGGCTGACAGTATATCTGTAAACACGGCAGAATTCATCCGTCTGCTTCTGTCTTCTGTCACATCATCAATAAACACCAATGACCCAGTGCCACTGGTAGCCATGCATGCCCATTCCATCACCCCGCCTCCACCCATGCCATCCACACTGCCTCCACCATGTTTTACACATGACGTTGTGTGCTTTGGGTCATGAGCTGTTCCAAGCCTTCTCCACACTTTTCTCTTCCCGTCATTCTGGTACAGAATCATCTTAGTTTCAGCCGTCTAAAGAATGCTTTTCTAGAACTGGTCTGGCTTTTTTAGATGTTTCTTTGGCAAAGTCTAGTCTGGCTTTTCTGTTCTTCAGGCTTATGAATGGTTTCCACCTTGTGGTGAACCCTCTGTATTTGCTCTCGTGAAGTCTTCTCTTGATTGTAGACTTTGACAATGATACGCCCACCTCCTGGAGAGTGCCCTTCACTTGTCTGGAAGTTGTGAATGGGTTTTAATTTACCATAGAGAGGATCCTGCGATCACCCACCACTGTTGTCTTCCGTGGACGTCCATGCCTTTTTTATGTTGCTGAACTCACCAGTGTGTTGTGTTGTTCTTTCCTCAGAATGTACCAAACTGTTGTTGATTTGGCCGCTCTTAATGTTGCTGCGATCTCTCTGATGGATTTGTTTCTTTTTTGAAGCCTTACAATGGCCTGTTTCACTTGTATGGACAGCTCCTCTGAACGCATGATGCAGATTTACAGCTATAGATTCCAAATGCAAATACCGCACTTAGAATCAACTCCAGACCTTTTACCGGCTTAACTGATGAAAAAATAACAAAAGGAGTAGCCCACACCTGGCCATGAAACAGCTTTTGATTCAAATGTCAAATTACTTTTGGTCTCTTCAAAAAGGGGGGGGGTGACTACTCTTAAGAGCTGTACCTAAACCCTTCCTCCAATGTGGATGTACATACCCTCAAATTAAACCTGAGAGTGTGCACTGTCCGCCCAAATCCATTATATAACTATAGCTTGAATATGTTTTGGTAAATACCTGAAAAAAAAGAAAAAATTCAATTGTGCCTGTGTCCAAATACATATGGACCTAACTGTATACAATTTAACTTTTAGTGAAAAAAGTGGGGAAAAAAAAATAAAAAATTTACACCCAAGCATCTAAATCTCCCCCCCCCCCCCCCCCCCAAATTTCTTTTAGCCTACCTTGCCCCTAAATACAGATTTATATGCAAGTAAACACATGCACTCCTACTGTAAATTTAAAAAAAAAAAAAAAAAAAATCACTGCACCACACATTACATACGGCCACACACGCCGAGTGATAGCAGTAATTTTAGGCCCATTATTGACTCCTAACTCTCAAATGATGACCTGCAGGAGCTTTAAAGGTTTTGCCGATTGAAAATGGGTGCGCACAATTTTAAAGTTTGACTTTTTACACAGTGCTCTTATTTTTTTTTATTCAAAATTGGGTAATATTTAGCATTTGTGTGCCCGCTTTTAATGTATTTTTCCTAAAAAATTTGTGCTTGATAAATTGTTATGAAAATATCATGTGACATAAAAACACGCCCAAAGCACATTGATACCGGCCCTAACTCTTCCAATGGGAATGTCCGTTCCGGTGACAGCTGAGCGAGGAACTCCCCTCACTTTGTAGAGGTTTCCTTGTGCTTTCTGTTGTGTCTCTGGAAAAGGAATCTACCTAAATGGTAAACATATTCCCTACTCCACCCAAAAGTAAAAAAAAAAAAAAAAAAAAAAAATGTTACGAATGTGTGTAGACTGTGAGTTGGTGGATCTGGTCACGGTGAATTACCCCCGAGGAAAGAATAAACACACAGAAAGCAGTGTAATACACCCACAGTAATATGAAAAGGATCACTTTATTACTTAGAGGCCATGATGGCTAGGAAGGAAAGAGTACCTGTCTCCGTCATATAATGGACTGGGCGATGGCCAACACCTTGGAGTGCGCCCCCTCCTTCCTTAGGGAGGATGAGATTGGGACCCGGATTCTGGTGCCTACAGGGTTGCCATTGTCCTCAATAAGTACCACATTGTTGGAGTCGAAGCGGGGGGTCATGGAAGGTCCGGGCATCTTGTGGCCCACTATCAGCGCTTTTTTCTTCTGCCCCTTAATGGCCAGGAGGATTTTATCGCCCACCTTCCCCACACCGGACTTGTTGTAAACATGGATGCAGCGGGGGGGCTTGTGATACGGCGTATTTCCTAGGGCGCTGTTATCCACCACGCGAACCCGCGTCAGCTTCTGGATGGCTCCGCACGATGCTGAGAGGCTGAAGGACAAAACACATCTGGTGTCACTAAGTGCAAACTGCGGCCACTGTGCAGATCCATCGTGAAACATTTCTCGAGGTTTACCTGTATATTCTAAAATGCTCTGTTGGGAAAAACCTATTTACAGAGCCCAATATCAAGTTTACTCCCACAGCTAAGTGATTCAAAGCAGTTCCAATGCACAGACGGGCACCGGTGAGGCGGCACAGACGGGCACCGGTGAGGCGGCACAGACGGGCACCGGTGAGGCTGCACAGACGGGCACCGGTGAGGCTGCACAGACGGGCACCGGTGAGGCTGCACAGACGGGCACCGGTGAGGCTGCACAGACGGGCACCGGTGAGGCTGGGCACTGGTGAGGCTGCACTGACGGGCACTAGTGAGGCTGCACTGACGGGCACTAGTGAGGCTGCACTGACGGGCACTAGTGAGGCAGCACTGACGGGCACTGATGAGGCAGCACTGACGGGCACTGATGAGGCAGCACTAACGGGCACTGATGAGGTTGCACTAATGGGCACTGATAAGGTTGCACTAATGGGCACTGATGAGGCAGCACTAATGGGCACTGATGAGGAAGCACTAATGGGCACTGATGAGGAAGCACTAATGGGCACTGATAAGGAAGCACTAATGGGCACTGATAAGGAAGCACTAATGGGCACTGATGAGGAAGCACTAATGGGCACTGATGAGGCAGCACTAATGGGCACTGATGAGGCAGCACTAATGGGCACTGATGAGGCAGCACTAATGGGCACTGATGAGGCAGCACTAATGGGCACTGGTGAGGTAGCACTAATAAGGCAGCACTAATGGGCACTGATAAGGTTGCACTAATGGGCACTGATGAGGCTGCACTAATGGGCACTGATGAGGCTGCACTAATGGGCACTGATGAGGCTGCACTAATGGGCACTGATGAGGCAGCACTGAAAAACTGAACTAACCTGCGCTGATAGGGCTGCACTGATAGCCAGTGCCCTGATTGTGAATGTAAACAATGTACTGACAGTCTTTCCTGTTATCTCCTCTCCTTTCCTCACACAGACACAGCGTGTGAGGAAGGACTGCCGATAACCGGCAAATCTGTACACGTGATCAGTTCTAAATGGACACAGCTGATCACATGGTAAAAGGCTGCTGTGATCGGCCCTTTACCTCAATCTGTGATTAGCGGATTCCAAAAGGACACAATGGTCACAGTGAGCACCTGATGTGCGCCCCAGGGGGCGGGGTTCTGAGAGGGCGTCCACCAAGAACTGGCCGGCCGCGTTGTAGCCGTTGTTCAGCTATAGTGTGGCCGGCAAGTGGTTAAATAGCTTGCTCCAAGCTGGCCCAAACTATTTACTGCACTAACAGGTACACTTTCTGGGAGCGCTGTATAATCTGCATGCAACCTCCACTCCGTACAGTATACACAGCGCTGTGTACCACCAATGGGATGAGAGCTTCACGTTTCACTCCCGGAAGTGAGCGCTGCTCAGCCATTCACAGGAGGTTTGTATTCTATGAAGGAACACGGGCCTTCCTCTGATCGACTGGAGACGTGGGTTGATGATGTCACAATCTCTGCCACAGCCAATAAGAGAAAGCTTTGTATTCATTCATAGAATATAAAGATTTCCATAATTGGATGAGCGGGATTCCTTTACTTTTCCAGGGAAGGGGGGGGGGGGGGAGGGGGGGAGGGAAGGAAGGAAGGAGGGAGGGAGGGAGGGAAGGATGGAAGGAAGGAAGGAAGGAAAGGTGGGAAGGAAGGAGGGGAGGAAAGAAGGAAGGAGGGAGGAAGGAAGGAAGGAGGGAAGGAAAGGAGGAAAGGAAGGAAGGAAGGAAGGAAGGAAGGAAGGAAGGAAGGAAGGAAGGACAGGAAGGGAAGGAAGGAAGGAGGGAGCTGGAAGGAGGAAGTAAGGAGGGGAAGAAGGGAGGGAAGGGAGAATAAGGTGGGAGGGAGGGAGGGAGGGAAGATGGGAGGGAACGGGGGAGGGGGAGGGAAGGAAGGAAGGAAGGGAAGGAAGGAGGGAATGGAGGGAAGAGGAAGGAAGGAAGGAAAGGAGGATGGAAGGAAGGAAGGGAAGGAGGGAGGGATAGGAAGGAAGGGAAGGAGGGAGGGAAGGAAGGAAGGAGGTGAAGGAAGGAAGGAAGGAAGGAGGGAAGGGAGGGAAGGAGGAAGGAGGAAGGAAGGCGAGGAAGGGAAGGAGGGGATGGAGGGAGGGAGGAGGAGGGAAGGAAGGAAGGAAGGAAGGAAGGAAGGAGGGAGGGAGGGAAGGAGGAGGGAAGGGGGAAGGAGGAAGGAGGGATGGAGGGAAGGTGGGAGGGAGGGAGGAGAGGGAGGGAAGGAGGGAGGGAAGGAGGGAGGAGAAGGAAGGGAGGAAGGAAGGAAGGATTGGAAGGAAGGAGGGAAGGGTGGGAAGGAGGGGAGGGAGGGTGGGGAGGAGAAGGAAGGAAAGGGAAAGGAGGGAAGGAAGGAAGGAAGGAAGGAGGGAGGGAGGGAAGGAAGGAAGGAGGGAAGGAAGGAAGGAGGAAGGAGGGAAGGAGGGAAGGGAGGGAAGGAGGGAGGGAGGGGAAGGAAGGAAGGAGGGAGGGAGGGAAGGAAGGAAGGAAGGAAGGAGGGAGGGAAGGAAGGAAGGAAGGAGGGAGGGAGGGAAGGAAGGATGGGAAGGAGGGAGGGAGCCATACAAAGCAGTGTGCTGGAGCTGACAGGGGAGAGAACTGTATTTTTTTTTACATACAGTTCTCTCCCCCCCGTCGGTATTACTCGGCGATCAGCAGGTGCCGGGTGAGTAATCCCCGGCCAGGACCCGATGATTGACAGTGAGGTCACGAATGGCAGTGCATCCCCTACCGGAAATGAAAAATCGTGATTTTGCGCACCCCTGCCGCCTGTAGCAATATTTCTTCTATAGGGCGGCGGTTTTTTGTTTTTATTAAATTTTGTTTTTTTTTTTTATTTTTTGTTTTTATTTTTAAATTTTTAAAAATCCATAAAACTGCCTTAAAAATAAATATAAAATGTCGTCTGGTCATAACAGACAGGCATAGAATAGGAGCTCAAGGACACAGAAAAGCCTCATTTACCTGAAGGTCTGCCTGTTAATGGTAGTCAGGCTGGCAGACGAGAAGTCGGGCGGCTCGATGATACAAGGCCATGCTGCTTCCTGCAGAGACACAGGTCAGTGATCAGTCTCAGACATCAGACGGCTCTGTGGCCGCAGGGGGCGGCTTGGGCTTGGAAAGTAAAGACAATTCAGGCTTTGTACATTAGAGGTATACCTCCCCCCCCCCCCCCCCCCCCCCCAAGTGCAGCCGACAACATGCATCACCTCTTCACCCCATCCAATTTGTCCACACATGACCAGACTGGCCACAATCTGACCCACTTGGCTACAATTCACAGGTAGATCAATGACACCCAACAACTACAGGACATCCCAGACTTCTATACGGACAGCCATTTCTGAACATGGCAGATATTTGCGGTCTGTGTGCTGAAGCTGCGGGTGTGATGCAACATTCACCAATACATTCCACCTGTGTGAATGTCTCCACCAATGGAGATCAATTCATGAGGAATACGGCTCGGGTCACATCTGTGCAGACTGCGATCTCACAACGCATTTTGCATTTTAGAACACCACGTTTTTGAAGTGTTTTGCAGGTTTTTTGCCAATAGTAAAGCGTTGACTTTGATGCGACTTTGATGGGTGCGGTTTGTTTGCAAATCGGAAAGTTATAACAGTTCTGTTCATGTAATGCCACTTTGGTCAAGAAGCATCCAAGTCGCACCCTAGTTCAAAGTTGCATCCAAGTCACACCCATCCAAAACTTGCATCCAAGTCACACCCATCCACACTTGCATCCAAGTCTACCACCCATTCCAAACTTGCATCAAAGTCACACCCATCCAAACTTGCATCCAAGTCACACCCATCCAAACTTGCATTCCAAGTCTGCACCCATCCAAACTTGCATCACAAAAAAAAAAAGGTCGCACCCATCCAATAGTTGCATCCCCAAAAATCGTACCCATCCAATTAGTTGCCATCCAAGTCCACACCCATCCAAAGTTGCATCCAAGTCGGTACCCTATCCAATTAGTTGCATCCATCCAAATGTTGGCAATCCATTCCAAAAGTCGCATCGGAAGTCATATACTCTCCAGTTGGCAAAAAAAAAATGTTTTCACGCATCAAAAAAAGCAAGCACTTGAGTTTAGGATTGTGGGTCTATTGACGTTATTACACGCACGTTTACTCAATCTGCTGGCGGGGAAAAAAATCACCCACCCCCACCATGTCTCTTAATATAAAAGTAGCCCGACATTTATAAACCACAGATACACATCTTTAAACTGCTCAGAAGATTTTGCTGTAATTGTGGGACTCTGGAATCAAGGAATAGGTATAATTATGTACAAATAAAATGGAATTTCACTTTGCCATGTCCATGTTCTGTGTACTGGGGAGAGCGGAATAGTGAATGCGTTGGGGGTCCGGGGAGAGCGGATATAGTGAATGCAGGGTCCGGAGGAGAACGGATATAGTGAATGCGGGGTTCCGGGGGAGAGCGGATATAGTGAATTGCGGGGTCCGGGGAGAGCGGGATTATAGTATGAATGCGGGGTCCGGGAAGAGTGGATATAGTGAATGCGGGGGTCCGGGGAGAGCGGATATAGTGAATGCGTGGGTCGGGGAGAGCGGATATAGTGAATGCAGGGAGACTGGATATAGTGAATGCAGGGTCCGGGGAGAGCGGATATAGTGAATGCGGGGTCCGCGGGATGAGTGGGATATAGTGAATGCGGGGTCCGGGGGAGAGGGGATATAGTGAATGCGGGGGTCCGGGGAGAGCGGATATAGTGAATGCGGGGTCCGGGGAGAGCGGATATAGTGAATGCGGGGTCCGGGGGAGTAGCGGATATTTTTTAGTGAATGTGGGGGTCCGCAGGGCGGGGGAGAGCGGATATTAGTGAATGCGGGGTCCGGGGAGAGCGGATATGGTGAATGCAGGGTCCGGGAGAGAGCGGATATAGTGGAATGCAGGGAGACTGGGGATATGGTGAATGCAGGG